CCCCCCCCCCCCCCTTATCTCTCCCTCATCTTTCCCCCACCGTCGCTCACCGGAGCTGCTTCAAGCCTCGCGTAGTCTTGAGGCCGATCACGACGTGGGAAACGGTCCGGCCGTATCCGCCAAGCGGGTTCTCAGTCTCCTCCGGCGTTAGCTCCGTCACCTCTCCCTCGTACACCTTTTGTTTTCACCCGATCAAAATTAATCGTTTCGCGCAGAAAGAAAAGACGGATCGTCTGTTGCTGGAAGGAAGGATGGATTCATGTACTTTTTTCCGTACAAAGGGGTCACCCTCTTCACGCCGTCGAAATCAATCGTTTCGTACAGAAAGGAAAGAGGGTCTCATTAACATACACAATTTTCGGTAAAAATAGATCACTTAAGGCTCGTGAAACCATGCCACTGGAGACAAAGCTACGGCTACCACCTATTCCCGTAGAGATGGATGCACAGTAGTCTACGACCTTTCAAGACAAGCCATTGGACACCGTCGGCGGCAGCTAGTGCAACGCATACCTTCGACCACCTTTTCTAAGTACCCCGTATCTATCACCCACTCGAGAGAGAGAGAGCTCCCATCCTGGCGTCGAAAAAAGGGTAATCACCCGTTCCATGCATGCCTCCAATCGTACCCCGAGAAAGTTTTGTTCGCCGACCCCCTTCCCCGCAGGACGGCTCCCGAACACGCACTCTCTACGGCTGCGGAATGGGGGGCACTCGCGGCCGCGATCGCCCCAACCGCCCCAACCGCCCCAACCCTTCCCTGGCTCGACGCCGCCACCATACTTTGCCCGCCCGTCTCATTCAAGCGCTGCCGCCGCCGTCGCCGCTGCGGCTGCGGCGGCCGGTTTCTGTATTCGCTTCTCACCTCTCTTTGTTGTTTTTCTTACTTACGACGCAACAATTCCATCCCCTCCACAGATGGGACACAGACGGGGTAGACAATCACTTAACTCGCAGCATCAGCGGAAGCTACCTGCGTTCCTACGAATGATCCGAGCAGCATATCCAACCGAACCAAACCGAACCAAATCAAACCAAACCAAACCAAACCAAGCCAAACCAAACCAAACCAAACCAAACCAAAGAGCAGCATAGACTACAGCGATGGCTCCCCTTACCTCTTTGTTTTCCTTGATTCGGAGTCCGATGGCTCTACGGAAGTGCTCCATCAAGATCTCCGTTTTCTTGACCTCGCTCGAGTACACCTCGGACCCAACCATCGGGCAAAACGGCACCTATATTCACGAACATCATTGTAGTTGTTGTTGCAGTTGTTGTTGTTTGCTGCTGGAAAGAATGCTACCGCTGCTTCAAAGAACATGCATGCAAGACTCTCAAACGTCGAACAGCCGCCTGGAAACAGAAGGGAAAATAGCACCCGAACAGTCTCCGCCGCTGACGACCAGCCAACACAATATATGTAGAACTACAATAATTGTTCTTACGGAGCCTTTCGCGGATACTATGGGTCCATTAATTGCTAATCTATCTTAGCCTATATCCGTACCGCCCAAGCTGGCGCGGATGCCATTGGCGTGGTTGCGCGACAACCAACTAAGAGGAAAGAACAAAAAAAGAAATAAATGAATACTGCGAATTACTATCGCCGTAAGTAACTTCGCAGACAGGCCAAGAAGCAGGGGATTCGCGGTGGGATCCGGCCGACCTGGCACTGCAACAACTCAGGAAGATCCGTGACTGACGCGAGCAACTAGAAGAGCGAGAGAAGGGGGAATGAGGCGCAAGGCGTTTTGGCCGCTAACCGCCGCCGCCGCCGCCGCAACAACAACAACAACAACAACAACAACAACACCATCACCACCAACGACTACACCATCAACACCAACGACACCAACGACAACCACAATAACGAACGCCGCACCTTTGGCCCTAGCTCCTGCGAAACCCCCAGCGCCAGCGCGGTCTTCCCAGTGCCGGGCGCTCCCGCCAGCAGCAAGGCCCTCCCCGCCATCTTCTTCGCCTTAATCAGGTCCACCACCACGCCCGCCGCCTGGCTCGTGATAAAACAAGACACCAACACGTTAACGTAACACACTGGAGGAAAAAAAACACACACACATGTGAAGCAACGCGTTTATGTAACACATGAGAGGCTACACACAGGTGAAAAAAAATGTGCTTTTGTGGTTGGACACGAGAGTGCTGCGATAACCCTTGGTTGGACTTGACATACATCTTGAGATCCAGACATACGCTTCTATTGCAATACTTTTTTTGGTCATGGACACGAGGTTGTGGCGATAACATTGATACAGACTCGGTCGAATGATGATGGAGTGTGGTTGCAAGGCAAGTACTTCAAGACGAAGCAAACAAGACGGCAGAGACACGCGCGTGCTCTGTCGATCGACGTCGCGGG